ACCCGCACCACCCTCTCCGCCTCCGCCCTCGCCGGCGCCCTCGCCGCCTCCGCCAAGCCCACGGCCGCCCTCACCGCCACCCTGTCCGCCGCCCTCGCCTCCGCCGCCCTCGCCGCCCCCACCGTCGCCGCCGCCCTCTCCACCGCCTCCCTCGCCTCCGCCTCCGTCGCCACCGCCCTCGCCGCCTCCGCCCTCGCCGCCGCCCTCGCCGCCGCCCCCGAGCCCGCCGCCTCCCTCGCCGCCGCCCTCGCCGCCTCCGCGAAGCCCGCCAGCGAGGCGTCGCCCTCACTCGATGAAAGCGGCGTCGTCGGCGGTATCACTTACAGGAATATGGATGTCTGCGGCGAATACAAACGCGAGTACGCGCACCGCGTCGGACACACTGGGACTTGTCTGGCGGTGCTGCCCGCGCGGTCGGTACCGCCCTCTCGGCCACCCAAGCAGGTGGATAGGTGAGGAGACGCGCAGAACGGCGGCCGCGAGGCAGCCGGCGCGGTGCTCCCTCGGCGCGGTTCGCCGGAGCAGACTTTTGCTTCCGGTTTGAGCCGCGGCCCGGTAGGTTGACTGAGCGGCTGGTGCGTGTGAGGCGGTGCTGGGCGGGGTTGGGTCGCCACTGCGCGATCCGGCCCCAGTCTCGGTTACGTAGACGCCTAGTCAGCACGTGCCGCCGCGGGGACTCACCCTCCCCCGACGCAAAAGCTCCCTCGCTGTGCCCCTCCGGACCGGATGGGGCCGCCTGGGTAGCGGCTGTGTGTGAGAAGCAGATGGTTTCCCGATGGGCAGACGCCTCGTGCGCCTCACCCAGCAGCGTGGCTGGCTCGCAGCTCGGAGGTTTCCTCTGGGCGCGGGTCGGCTGGCTGCACTGTCGGTGGCGGTGGCGCCTCGACTGGCCCCGCGTAACAAGGCCCTGGCAGGCTCAGCGGTGCAGCCCTCCCCTTTCGGAGCGGCTCCCGCCCTGCTGTGGAGCTGCGGCGTGTTGGTTGTGATGCGCTTCTAGCCACCGAGCGGTCGTGCGAATCCTTGAGTGGAGGCGCGATGCGCGGCGCCCCGCGAGGCCGCCCGTACTGGGCCGGCCCGCGGCTTGGCGCTGCGCGAGGGCTGCGGCTCTGACTAGAGCCGCGCTCTGTAACATGATTACGACACGTGTCCTTGGCTTTGTTGGCCTTGGAGTGAGCACTGTCGGTCAGACTCTGGGCGGCCGCGCGCGGTGGTCTCTTGTCCCCTCCGGAGACGGAGGGCTCTGACTCGGACCGCGCGCGCTGGCCTGCCCCTGTCTGGTCCGGGACTTCCGTTGTGGGAGGGGGTCTGGTCTCCGACTGGGCTCCCTCCCCGCGGGTTGTCTGCGGGCTACCT